TTGCAAGTACTCCACCTCGGCAACCGCCGCAGAGAGGGCCTCTGTCTCCTCGGCCAGGGTAGAAGGCACCTTGCGACGCAACTTCGACGATCTCCATCCGAAGATGCATGCCCTCACGGACCGGTTGTGGATGACATTTCGGCCCACGGCATGGAACATCCACGCGCCCGATGCGGGATCTCCTGGCAGTCCGGCCTCGTCCGCGAGCCGCGCACGAGCCCCGACGCCTCTGGCATCTGAGAACGAAATACACGTCAAGCTGCCCGATGATCAGGCCTCGAGAGGCCGCGGCCACGAGGTGCCGGACAAGTTTGCTGGCCAGAGCCACGTCGCCAGTAGTGGGAGCTTTGAGGCGGCAAGCAAGTGCGCCGGCCACCCCTGCCGCCTCTGGGCGGCACTCGTGGCCCACCCAGTTGAACTTATATCTCAGCGATCTCAGGGGTCGGAACTCTTCTTCGAGGAGAGGGTCGTCGCGCTGGGCCACGAGCCCACGAGCCATCGTCAGTGGGCGAATCTCCTCTAGCATGTACTTCTCCCGATCAACGGTGACTCAGTTATCCTCGAAGGTACTGCGGCGCCCTGCAAAGTCGACTGGCCCCGCGTGACAGCCCCGAAAACCACTTGCCGAATTCGAATCTGGCCTGCGGGAGATTTCTCAACCAAGATCTGGACTCGGCCCCGGAGCCCCCGATAAAGAAATTGCCCTCTTCAAAAAGCATCGCGCTCAGGATTCCGCCCCCGGGCCCGCAGAGACGCCACCGGCAAGGTTCCAGCAAGGGGTTGCAGGAACCACTCTTCTCCAAGCACGAGGTGGCAGCGCGTCTCCGCGCCACCGGGGCGCCGTCTAGTCCGCGTGCGCTCGCGCGCGGTGAGACGGGGCCCCCGAGGGTTAGATCGACCCTTTCGCAGGGCTCAACGTACATCTGGCCACCTGCTCTCGTCATAGGGTCGCTCTGGCAGAAGGCGTTCTTGACATCCGCGATGTCAGCTATCACATCGAAGTTCGCTGGGACCTCAATGAGCACCATGACGCCGCTAGTCCAGGGCGTCGGCGCGCGCGCCTGGAAGGGCCCGGGGACGGGATCGCGGCGCCCCTGCGCGCGCCATCTGGATTTTGCATCCAAGGCCTGAAGGGTTCCCTTGTCGGGTTCCCAGCGCCTGACCACGCGGCTGGATATGGTGCGATCCGCCCGATACTTCCCCACGCTGTCAGCCTGCTTCGGCGGAACAACCTCGACCGCCCCGGTGTCCGCCATGGCATCCCACTCCTTTTTATCTGGCACTGCAGACTTAGCTCGTTCCGATGGAGTTGGCTTCCTCAGACAATATCCCCCCTCCTCGACCGGCTGCAAAGGCCCCCCCTGTCGTCGTCGACGCCGCCGTCGCCCCGCAAGCAATCCTGGACCGCCTGGGCCACGATGCCACCACCACCACCACCACCACCACCAGCGCGGCATCATGGCAACGTCGACAACGGTAGACACGGTGATAATAGTAGCGATCCTGGTGACGATGTTGACAACGACGACGGCGCGGACAATGCGGGCGCCGATGCTGACCACGCCGGCGACGACGACGGCTCCCTCGCGTCGGCAACGAAGGTTTTGGAAAACTTTCGACACGCGCGCGCGGCAGAGGCGCGAGAGCGGACCGCGTGGATTTGTGGGGCGCGTATCGTGCCCCCCCAACACGGGCGAAAGTGCGCGCGAATGATTTCGGCACGCGGCGCGAGGGGCCCGTTTCGCAGAATTCCAAGACAATGTGAAAACCCCAGGTTCCCTCAAGACTTCGCAAGAGCACATGCGGGCGCTTCTTTTGAAAGCTGATTTTGCGAAACCGCGTGCTTGTGTATGTCTCTTGGACACTCGATTTTGAATCCTTGCGAAACCAACGGCTTTTGAGAGAGAAACAAAAAAAACAAAAAAAAAAAAAAAAAAAAAAAAAAAAAAAAAAAAAAAAAAAAAAAAAAAACTGCCTGCTCGCGCGACGACGCGCGCGCGTGCCCTTCGCCCCATCTGTTGCTCAGGATTCTCGCGGCGGCACGCGCGCGAGGTCCTTCGAAGCGATTTCGACATGGCCGCGCGCGGGAAACCCGTTTGGTAGCATTCTGGAAATGATGAAAAATCGATGGGTCTCACGAACCCACAAGAGAGCGCGCGCAAGCTGTTTTTGAAAACTGACGTTGCGAAACCATATGTTGTTGCATGTGTTCTGGGCACTCGGTTTTCAAATCGTTACGACAAAGCCGGTTTGTCTAACATGTTTCGGAACGCGCGCGCGACCACGCGCGCGCGTGCACTCCGTCAAGGTGTCTTTGCAAGGGAGTCTTGGACACTTATGATGCTTGAAAAACGAGTGTGCACGCATAATTGGTATTTCCAAGGATGGCGGGGGTGGGATGCGGGCTTGGCTGGGGCGGCATGACTTCAAATGTAGGATGGGCGATGGGGCAGCATCATATGCAAATTCAATACGTCAAGGGGTACCGATGGTCCAGGGGGCAGAATACTTTCTCTTTTTTGAAAGGAGAACCTATGTAGTGCAAGCTACGCGGTGCAATCTACGCGGCGAAAGCAACGCGGTGCAATCCACCAATGCACAACTTGAAATTGTCCACTCCATTGCTGGCGCAAACATCCCACCCACCCACCCGCAAGTTGTTTCGCTAACCCCGTGCGGAAGCGATTGCGGTGAGTGGTCGGTGTTGGTTGGTGCAGTTCTGCGGCCGCGCTAGCCCGCGCATGCTCGCGCACGCAGCGGCCAGCTAGTTTGCCGCGACCAACGCGAACGCGGCGGCGCTGACCGCTTGGCACATCCCAGAGAGCAAACACATCAGTTCGAGTCGTCGACTTGGGCGAGCGCGGCATCATGGCAACGTCGACAACAGTAGACACGATGATGATAGTAGCGATGCTAGCGACGATGACGACATCGACGACGAGGCAGCCAGTGACGGCGCCGATGCTGATCACGCCGACGACGATGACGGCGTCTTCGCGTCGGTGGTGAACGTTTTGGAAGGAGTTCGAAATGCGCGCGCGGCAGACGCGCGAATGGCCCGCGTGGTATTATTTGACACGGATCGTGCCACGCCAGCACGCGCGCAAGGGGTTTTAACGATTTCGACATGCGCGTGCGCGAAGCCCGCTTGGCAGCATTTTATGAAATTGTAGAAAACCAAACAGGGTCTTCAAGAATTCGTAAGAACGAACGCATTTTTTGCATTAAAATCAGTGTTCCGAAACCGTGTGTTGCTAATTTTCTGGGGGCGTTCGATTCTGAAATCCTTACGAAGCCGAAGAGTGTTGATGGATTCTAGCATGCGCGCGGGACGACGCGCGCGTGTGCACTTCGCCCCATGTGCCACGGACTCTTGAAAACTTGTGACGAATTATCAACGAGGGCGCGCGCATAGTATTTTGGTTGCAGAGGATGGCTGGGGGGGTCGATACCGGTTGGGCTGCGATGGTACGAGTTCGTGTTTGGGACGGACGATGGGGCAGAATCGCATGTTAATTGCAATGCGAAAAAGTGGTATAATCCCGGGGGGGGATCGAATCTTTTAAAACAGAAAATTTATGTGGGCGGCGACGAAGCGGCGACGGGGCGGCGACGAGGCGGCGACAAGGCGGCGAAGGGCGGCACCGCCCGGAAAAGCCAGGACGGGGGCCCAGGCGACGGGCGGAGACGAGGCGGCGACGGGGCGGCTACGGGCAACACCGCCCGGACTCGCCGGGACAGGGGCCCAGGCGACGGGCGGCGATGAGGCGGAGACGGGGCGGCGACGGGCGGCACCGCCCGGAATTGCCAGGACTGGCCCCCAGATAATTATGACAAGTAAGAACCCCTAAGTGTAAGCAAGGTTTGAGGAACAAGTCAAGCCCCTTTAAGCAAGCACTGTTTGGCGAATAACTCCTCCCTGTCGCACCCCGAGACGTGTCAGGAGGGCGAGCCGGGCGTTTCGCTTGAGGCAACAGTTTCACGGATGGAGGGCGGATGGTTTTTTTATGTGTCTCTCGCCTTAGCGCCGCGCGCATTCGTCTTCACAGCACGCAAGAGCGTCACGGATTGAGGGCGGGTCGTTTTCAAACACGCACATTCGTCGTAAGTGTGTTTAACAGTTTCAGGGAGTCTTATGGTTGACGTCCCAGGAAGGGTGTTCTGGCACTATGTACGACGGTCTGGACGCAACAATTACGTTGATGTTCGGTGCTGAAATCCGAGGAACGGCGTTCTGGCACAATTTGGAGCCGTCAGGACGCAACATGGACGTTGATTCGCAGCGATGAAGTCCCAAGAATTTTTGTTTCCCATGAAAAACGACTAAGCGCGGACCCCACCTTACACGCCCGGCAAACCCAGGACACCCACCGGATTGCACCGGTGCAGCCGCGAGGACTCTAATTTGCGCACGAGAGGTCCGAACGCCACCGCACATGTCCCGCACGACAGGAAAGGGGGCGAGAAGGAGGGGGAGGAGGAAGAGGAGGAGGAGAAAAGATCGCTGGGCCGGACGCGGGGAGAAAGCATGCGGGGCGTGGACGCGGCCGCGGGGTGTTAGCCACCAGGATTTTCAGTCAGTTGTTTTCCAACGGGGCACATCCATCAGTGAAAATAAATTCATGAAGGAACCCATGACACGAGGGAGCTTAGAGGGAGGGTTCCTTGCAACGTCGTTGATGAGTCTTGGGCGTTCACTGGTCCTCCTCCTCCTCTCCTCCTCCTCCTCCTCCTTCTCCTCCTCCTCTTGAGCAGGGACCGGCCGTCCCGGCATTCCCGTAGTCCTACTACGAAATGTTCTTAGAACCAAAAAAAGTTCTAAGAACAAAAGCAATATGCTTAGAACATAACCCAGATGTGTTAAAACAAGACAGTCCCAGCCAGAAATGTTCTAAGAACATGTCGTGCAGACGACAAAAAGGTCCTTAGAACATTGTCTGGTGAGGCTATAGGCGAGCCAGGACGCTTCGCCACTACTTGATCCTCACTCTCCTGCACTTCACCCTCTTCTCCCATCACCGCCGAGAGTTACTACAGCACGGGGAAAGCGACCGCAGGCCTACCACCTGCTGGCGCAGTGGCACTGGAACCCCTAATGGGTGGTCGACGACGCCATCACTCAACGGGCTGCGGAGCCGCCTGAGCCAGAGCGCTCCTGGGCCGCGGGAGGCGTCCCGGCTGAAGCACCCTCGGCCGCGGGAGCCGCGGCCAGCGCGCGTGCCTCTCGGCGGTTCAAAGATGGAGCCCTGAGGGACCGGGCCCTGAGGGTGGGGCAGCAAGATGACAAAAAAGTGGAACCTTTTCTTTTTCAACCCCGTGCTCGCCCCCCCCCCCTTCCCCCCAGACTCAAAGTTGGTGTCCGGCCTGCTGGTGGCCCTGGGGGTTACACATTGTCACATTGTTTGTCCTTTCGAGCCTGTGCACCCGAATGCCCAGGGTCAACATTGCATAGAGGGGGGAAAGGGGGGAAGGGGGGAGCGGAGGCAAGGCTTCCACTTTTTGTCCATCTACGAAAGGGGCTCCAAGGTTGAGTTTGGACTGTCTGAGGCCACTCTAGTCCTCGGTAGACGAAGCGCATTCCACTGCTCGCAGAGTCACTGCGAGCAAATGGCCTGGATCCGCCGCGGTCGGTTTACGATCCATCACATCGAGGCAAGCATCGTGTTTTTGTTTAAGAGATTTTGCGAGCAGGCACTTTGCGAGCGGTGGAACGCGCTCGGTGACTCAGCGCTCCATCCCTCAGAGGTCCCCATCTTGGAAACCGCCGAGGGCCTCCATACACTCCCTGCAGTCGCTGCTGCAGAGGCCGCAGAGGTGCTCGGACCACGCGCCCTCGCGGCCGAACGCCCTCAGGAGCTTCTCCCTGACGAAGGCCCGCCTCTGCGCGGTGCGCTGCTGGCGGCCCCAATGCACGTCCACGGCCGCCTCGTGAGCGGCCAGGCCCTGCGCGCTGGAGGACAGGGCCTTGACCACAGAGTCTTCCATGGCCTCGAAGGCATCGTTTCACCGATCTCCATTTCCCCACGGGGGCGGCCTTGGTCCCACTGGCCGATTTACCCCCCCTAGATGGGGATGTCTGCTGTTCCCTTCGGGTGTTGCAGGGCAAGTCCCTAACTGGGGGTGTGGGATGGTGGGGCTGAGATGCCATGGCCCAATTGGGATGGAAATCGGTTAGACGATACTGAGCCTCGGAGAAGTCGGAGAGGGGCACGCTCTTGTCGTTGCAGCTGCTCGCCGTAGTCTCGCTGCAGAAAATGTGGGAATCGACCTTCTGTCCGGCCGGCCGAGGGCGGCACTTGAGACTTGCCGTGTCCGCTCCCAAAAACGCCGCACTGATGTCGGCCATCGCGAGGCGCCGTGAGGACTTGGGCGGGGAGAGCCGAGCCACACTGCCAATCGAGCCGCGTAGACCTTCGAGCTCACGCGGCTACGGGCAGCATCCGGCTGGCCGCTCGGGGCCGCCCCCGCCGCAAGGTGCACGAGGGGCGCACTGGAGGAGGCGTAGGGGCAGGAATGATATCACACCATACATAATTGACGCGGATTCGTAGATTCGACGCCGCCGCGAATACGCGTCGATGACACGTCGAACCCGCGTCAGGTATAAGAGAAAATAGCAACTTACTTGACAGACAAGATCCCCCGAACACAGACGACGTCTACACCTCGCGCAATCGCTGAACAGCGAGCGCACGGAAGCTAGCAGCGGCATGATCAATTGCGGAAAGGTGCCGTGGGTGGGTCCTTTGTGGCATGCTATCTGTAAGAAGACCATCGCGGGCGCGCAGACAAACTGGCCGAGCGACTGCTAAAACTGGTACCCACTAACACCCCCCGCGACCCAAGAGTACCAACACAGCACCGCTGGGAAGTCGCTGAGGGTCAGCAGCCAGCTCGGGAAACACATCACAAGCTAAATGACGCTGGATACAGTCGATCCCGCTGTGTGGCGACCCATATAACGAACTACGAAGCAAGCCACACAAGCACTCTGCATACCATCACTAGCAGCCGAGACTCCACAAAGGGATTGATGCGGACACAACCTCCCTGCAGGTTCCCCAAAAAGAGTGCTTGCGCTTAGGGACTATGATTTGGCTTCTGGGTGACTGGCATACCCTTGCCTGGTCGCCGGTGGGCGCCTCGTAAGCGCCGCGTTCTTTGCCTGGCGTTTCCAGGATTTCCGCTCAGTCGCCGCCAGTGCCAGCCCGTGGGCGCCTCGTGGGCGCCTCGTGCGCTGGCCAGCTTGCAGTGCACCACACAACTTGCACCACACGGCTTGCACCACATGGAGTGCGCCTTATCGCTTGCACCAACCAACTTGCATCCGCCAGCTTACACCGCATAGTTTGCACCAAATAGCTTACGCCGCATGGCGTTCACCACATAGACACACGGGGTAGCTTGCACAACCTAGCTTATGCGACCTGGCTTGCACAACAGACTTAGCCCACATGGCGTACACCACAGAGCTTACACCAAAGAGCTTCCACCACATAACTTGCACCACATAGCTTGCACAAGACAGCCTGCACATCCCGCGTGTCGGAACTCTTTGTTTTGGGTCCACACTGGCAAAGATCTACAGGCAAGACCCATGGTAAGGATGCAAGATAAAGATGGAAGACCCTTGGGAGTCCCATTTGCCATTTAGAGCTCCTTGGAAGTCAACATATGATCAGGATGGGCCGAAGAAGCAGGGATGCAAGGGTAGCCTTGATGAAGCAGCGCATCCTGACTATGGAGATTGACAGTACGTCTACCGAACATGAAGAACGGTGGAATCATCGTGGCTCAAGACCGGAGAGAATTGCCAGAGATTAGAAGAGGGGCAGGAGCAGAATCGAGAGCTTCTGACAGAAGCAGGTGGAGAAGGACCAGCGAAAGCAGAAGGGCTCGGAGGGGGGGAGGGGGGGGAGTAGCGGTAGAATCAGC